ACTTCCAATGTTGGGGCATTCACAACTTCTGGAGGCAAGATTAATTGTTCTAACAGTCAGGAAATTTCTCCTCCGTTTTAGGTTGCTTCTCTCCTTGACTAGCTTTCATCCATTGCTTCTTGTCCTGCCCTCAGGTGCCTTGGAGAATAGCTTGACTCTCTCTTCTTTGTGGCAGCCCCTGAGATATTGGAAGACTGCTATAATGTCACCCCTAGTCCTTCTTTTCATCAGAGTAGACATACCCAGTTCCTGCAACTGTTCTTCATATGTTTTAGCCTCCAGTCCCCTAATCCTCTTTGTTGCTCTTCTCTGCACTCTTTCTAGAGTCTGCACATCTTTTCTGCATCATGGCGACCAAAATGGAATGCAGGATTCCAAGTGTGGCCTTACCAAGGCCTTATAAAGTGGTATTAACACTTCACGTTATTTTATAACAATTTACAACAATTTATAGAGCTTTGCTTTGTGAGCCTTCGCATTTAACAGTCTCCATTTTCGCTGGCAGAGGGTTGCAGGAGGCTGTCGCAGCCGAAAACGGAGCTCGGGAGCCCGTTTTCGCCGGCAGAACGCTCGGGCCTCCACAGGCGCCCCAATACAAGTGACTGAGCTGGCCATGCCCACCCTGGCCACGCCCACTCCACCACGCCAAGGTCAAACACAACCCCGATGCAGCCCTCATTGAAATCAAGTTTGACACCCCTGCTCTGGATCCATTTCCCCGTCAGAATGTTTACTTACGCCCTCTTTTGCTGCCGATGCAAACTTGCTCGCTCCAGTTGTAAAACTACTCCAGCCCTGAAAAAAAAAAGAGAGAGAGAGATTGAAGGTCAGAGGTCCTGCTTTGTGGAGATACTCCAGTGTCTAAAAACACCGAACTTACATATTTGGACATGAGCCTGGGCCTGAAATGTGCAAAACGTAACTGTTCATCAGTGCAGAGTCCATATAAGCTTAATGGGAAATTTGCAAAGGGAATTTTCAAGAGATGCTCTATGTTTCAGGTCTTGGCTGCTGCTTTCAGAACCCCGGGTTCTACTATCAAGTAAAATGCGACTCTGTTATTTATACAGAATGAAACCTGAAGGAAAAATTGGTTTTACTCCTAATTCGGTTTAGATCAGCTTCAGGAAGCAAGGTTTTGCAGCCTGACCCCTTCACCCTTCCAAATCTTCACAGCAATTTTTTCTTTTCCCTAAACATGGCTCCGAAAAGATGTGTGGACTTCAATAATCTAAAACGGTAAATCTGTTGTGGCCTGTCTACCACAGGCCACATGAGCGGCCGAATCAGAGGAGGAGGAGATGCGGGAGTCAGGGACAGCATCAAGGCAAACTGAGAACTCGGAGGGGGAAGGGGGAATGGAACTGTCAGAGAGAGAGAGAGAGAGGGAGGGAGGGAG